TGCAGAAAGCTAGCGATAGCGAAATTAGAACAATAATTGCTGATAAATTGCAGAATCGTATTATGTATTAGTGATAACCAAGCTAACTAGCGACAACGCTGCCTTGTGGTCGCTAGTTAGCAAGGGTTTGGTTACGCTGGTACGCAATACGAATCTGCGATTTATCAGCAATTATTGTTCTAATTTCGCTATCGCTAGCCTTCTGCAAGATACGTAATACGCCTACCGAGACTCTTTTTACTGCAAACGACTTTACATATTTGTACTCAAGACTGAACCAATCTGCATTTTGATTCTTGATCGAGGATAGATGTAAATGTCTATGGACCACACCATACCAACAGTATGCCCGCTTGTCACCCTTATTCTACCAAAAAAAAACGTGTCGTCCCGTGGACGTCGTAACTATGGAAAATTCCAAAAAAATCTTATGGCTTCCGATAGGTGGCGGCTAAACCGTCAGGTTTACATTAGTCTTAAAATACCCAGACGGGTGGCTATCAGCAGCGTTAAAGGTTGAAAACTTCGATAATGCAAATCCTGGCGATTACGGCAATCCTGCTTAAAACGGGAGACTCCAGCACTAGACTTTTATGGGATAGTGAAGAAGGAGATATACATTAATACATACTTATAATGAATATGTACCATGTAGCTTTGACAAATTATTTACTGTAATCTGTGCGGTAGCCGAATTATCATTTGTTATCAACTTCAAGAATTTAATTAGTCATTATTGCAACAGTGACTTCCACTTAAGGTTTCCCAATCTATGTTTGTGAAGGCTGATTAAATCTCTAAAGCTGATGGAATGGCATGAGTAATTTCAAAGGAAACAAATGACTCCAAATGTTGCACAAGAAAGGCAAAAGATGAGTGATAATGTAAACAATGGCGGTTGTCTTATTTTTAAGTTACTGTTAGCTTCAGTCCTTTTTACTTAAATTCCTTAAACACAAAGAAGAAAACTACAGACTTAGACGTTACACATGTTACTGCTCGTTGGAGTATGTTGAAATATTGTATTTGACCTGTATTTCAGTAGCTTTCTTTCAATATCTTTGAATGCTAGGATTTTTCTAGTAGTTTTCTTAGTTGATCTTTAGTAAAATGCTAAGTAACTATGTCTTCTAAACTTAACAAGTGGAATACGCGCTTCGCTGAAAATCAAAGTAATTTTAACTGATGAATAAAACAGGAAAATTTTTAATATGACTCCTCGTAGGATAGCGTCTAAAATTGGCAGTGTTTTTATATTTTATTATAAAAATGAAGTAACAAACGAACTTGAAGTCAACTTGATGGTAAGTGGCTGCTGTAGTCCATGGACAGGTGCAGATAACTTGAAATAAAGGAGAAGAAGACTAAGATGAAATGCGTAACAGCTTATAATTATATTTGGACTTTGATAGTCTATAATGGATAAATATTTAATTACTTTTATATATAGTCAGTATTATCGAATTAAATGAAATCTATAGAAATTTAGATAAAGAAGACTACGATGAATTGCCTAATAGCTTATAATTATATGTGGACATTGATAGTCTGTAATGAAGTAATATTGAATTATATGTATGTATAAACAGTATTATCGAATTAAATGAAATCTATAGAATTTTATATAAAGAAGACTAAGATGAAATGCCTAACAGCTTATAATTATATGTGGACTTTGATAGTCTGTGATGAATAAAACTTGAATTATTTTTATATATAAACAATATTATCAAATTAAATGAAAATACAACGATTCCAAAGAACTTTTTACTTAAAAGAAACCAATGCTATACTAGGGCGCCATAATCTAATTGATGACAAATCCTTTATAAACAAAGAATAAAAAGCAAATTAATTTAAATTTCTTAAATGAACGCGGAAGTTACGTGCTTACATTTGATTGAGAATAATAATTAAAAGATAACCTTTTTCATAGCGACTAAAGTTCTGGGTTCATTGGCAAGTGGGAATGTACGAGAATTGGCATTGAACATGATAAAGGCAACCAGGTTCGTTTTATAAGTATTATTACGTATGTTGACGTTATAAATTGACCGTAACATAAGCTCATTTTACTTCGTGGTCGGTCTCCGTTAACTCCTGGTAGTCTGCCTGGGTAGGTTTCTTACTTTCACCTTCTTTCTTATTACCAGGAGCAGTGCACATCGCTGTATTCCGGTCCAAATGATATTATATTATAATCGGGGTTGTCCGTCATAGTTTTCATAGTAACAACACATCCTTAGTTCTTTTTGTAATAAATTGGTTGCCGGTTTTGATGTGTTGCAGTTGAGACGTTGCTGTTGCATAATTTGTGAGGATGTCTGTGTCGGGACCAATACTGTCAACTCTAAACCACAGAGTAGTGTTATTGCTAATACATAGTTATATTGTTAATACGTTGGCACAACATAACTTCGAGACTAATCATTTAGTTCAGTTGTGAAGATAACTTAATACTTAAGAACCTACATAATATGGCCCACTAGACGCTGAATTAATTATATTAAATTATATATTGACATTTTTGACAAAACGTCTGCATAGGAAAAAAACCACAACACCTTGTTAATGATATAAGAATAAACTGCAAGGTCGTTGTATGTCTCTTACACAATTATCTTTAATTATTGAAAAATAGTATCACCTGTATTCGAAATAGGCGCATTTCGAATACAGGTGATACTATTTTTCAATAATTAAAGATAATTATTATATTATATAAGATATTATGAGGATATTCACGACTTTTCTGCCACCAGGTCGGCGAAACTTAGAAATGAGGTGAAATAATTGACAGAGTTTATAACGTGGTAGGTTAATTTATCAGAATAGTGTAGAGATTAATGTTTCTTTCTGAAATATCAGTTATATTTTATATTAGTTAGATTAGAAATGCATAAACCTACTTAAAAGTAGAAGAATTAAAAGAAAATTAAAAATGTGTCCAAAATTAAAGAATACGGCACTGAGGCATTGTTTTGTGTTTTCTCAAAGACTAGAAACCGAAAAAAAAATTATTTAAATCGTCACTTTTCTATGACGATGAACAAATTAGTTCACTTTAGTCCCAACAAGCGACATCTGGTGAGCGTAAGATTATTACTATATCTCTTTGCCCTAAGTATAGATTTTTATAATGATTTCTTATATTTACGCGAACACTACACATTTAAATAATACTAACAATAAAAAAAAACTAATAAAAACAAATTCTTCACAAGAAGAATAGACGCTCCGGGAAGTCTGCAGTCTGTGAACATGTACAGGATCGCCCCCGTCACTACATTAGATTTGCTAGACCACAAATCCTCGCTAAAGAACACCGATTCCTTCCAAGGATGATTCGCGAGGCTATTGAAATCAAGAAACATCCTAATTTCAATAGAGAAGATGGCTGGGTGCTACCATCTGCTTGGGATCCCATAATTAATAAAATTAAATCCCAACCCAAGCATACAACTGCAAGACTTCATGATACTGTAAGTTCATACTGCGTAGATCGGAACAAAAATTAATAATTTTTAATCTGGAGGTAGCCGTGGTTAACTATGACATTGGGACGTCATACACCTCAGTCCCCCCCGTGACCATGGGTGCTGTAAAGTGCTTGAAACGTCGGGAATGTAAAATAAGTTAATATACGCGATAAAATCCGTAAAATTAGTTTTATTTAAATGTATAGATTTTTGTTTAAGTACATAAAAATTAAAGGGATCTTAGGTCATACAGCCTTGAACGTGATCAAAACGAATTCATTTAATTCCTTAAATAGTTATGTATGGATAAATCATGTATGATTGTTCACTTTATTTTACCTAACTTACGGCAACATACAAATTTTCTTTTTTGTGTACATCTGTGGTGCAAGATATTTCGAATTATATGTGCTTTTATAATAAATACCAAAAAAAAACTGCTTCAATTTCTGATGTTCACATATTAATATGATATGATGTCCTCGTGGGATTATCTAGCCGATTTGAGATTAAAGAACAAGTCCCGAATTATTAACTGAGAAAATATTATTTATAACTAGCTGTTCCCCGCGACTTCGCCCGCGTGTAATTTAGGGTTTTAATATTTTTGCGAGAAACCCTAATTATTGTTCGAAATAAAAGTAGCTAAGTTACTCCTTATGACATCAGCTATCTGCCAATGAAAGTCCCGTCAAAATCGGTCCAGCCGTTTCGGAGATTAGCCGAAACAAACAGACAGGCAGACAAAAATTTTATAAAGTGTATTTTGTTATAAGTACCGTTTATATTTTCATATGCATTTAGTAAAATGCTGTAATTTTGACATTACAAACAGACACTACAATTTTATTTATTTGTATAGATTTACCTAGCGAACGGTCTAGGAAATATTGTCGCAACAAATAAACAGAAGATGCTAACACAGATAAATAATAAGTTACCTTAATAAATTATAATAATAACGTGTTACCCACATGTTATTTAAACAATGAACTAGTTTTATTAATTAACAGCCTAGTCTTTTTACTAAACGGCGCCGTTTAACTCAAAGACCAGCGACCGTCTCGTTGAATGAAACTAATAGGGTGGCCATGCAATCTAATGCGCTATGTGCTATATTACATAAATGTATGTGGCTTTAGGATGGTCCAAGGGCCACCCCAGCTTCACCTCAACCTGCTGTCGCTGATATTATTAATATAAGTGCAAAGTTGTATTAGAGGGGTAACGGGTTGGCAACCGTAGTTTTTTATTTTTAGTCGTTATTAGGCAAACGCTGCTGCCCATCTCCTGATTTTTCCCTCTGTCACCTCTTAAGACACCCACGGGATGATATGGGGTAGTGGATATTCTTACACCGACATACACGGTCCTTATGCTTAAATCGTAGGTTACATTCATCGGTTAACTATACGTATGTCTTACTATGTATATACATATTAAGACCCTAGTTCCAAATCAGCTACCAATTTTAATTTAATTACTTTTAACTCATCGTTATATCATTTATAGTGAACATACCTTCAATTTCAACATTCTCACCGCTAGATGAGTCTGAAGCGTCATCTTCTATCTTCTTCTCTGACACTATGGTAACACTGTTTTCACCACACTCGTTACTCTGTGATCGTTTGTCCGTAACCGAATGAAACTGTGAACAAAAAATAAATACCGTTAATAATCATTCTTTCATTCATTCTAACTTATTAAATATATTAAAATTATATTTCCTCAATTTCTTCCGCGGCAGCAACACGCCGTGTACCAGCTAGTAAAATATATATAGCTACTGCTGTAGGCCTTCCCCATAAATTTCATTATAGTTGGCGAGCTTAGCAAGCGGGTTGGCTCATAGATTTCTTTAATTTTGAGTATCTTTTAGGAAGATGGTGCTGTCCATTTTTTTCCTTTTTTTTTAAGAATAAGGTTGACAAACGAGCACACAGTCCATCTGATGGTAAACGGTTGCTGTGGCCTAAAGACCTCTACATTTATCCTCAATTAAGAATCAAAATGAAGATGCTCCTGAGGACTGAGATGGAATGCCTCGCTTCCAGTAAAAATGGTATCCAGTTCTCTACACTCACCATACGAAACACAGCAGCGTTAAGCTGCTAATTCATTATCTATATCCATGTCCTGAATTTCCCCCTGTCACCTCTTACGACACCCACGGGGTGATATTATTAGGTGATGGGTTCATTTACGCCTCTACTTTATATTTTATGTTATAATAATTTTTTTGTTAAAGTTAATTTAATATATTAATTTTTATATTTATTAGTGCGATTTATTGTATACTTTGAAACTAATGACCTATAATAAACATGTAATACATTTTGTTAATCGATTCTTAATTAATTAGTTTTGAAACTATAGCATACATTAAAGTATAGATATATAGTTAAACAGCGATTTGTTCTAGACAAACCTTTTAAGGTATATATTTTAAGAACTTATACATAAACTCCAGACGGACTCAGGCAATTTTATACTCTAGCAGGGACAAGAAAAGGTCACAGGTAGTGTTTTTACCTAATTTTTATTATTTCTTGTAAGATATTTTTTTTCTGTATGTACTACAAGTTTAAAGTTTAATAAAGATTAAAATACGATCAATACGATATGTATGTAATAATAAATGATTATGAATTTCTAAAGTGTGATAAAACAGAGGATGAAATCAACAAAAAAATAGTCATGAAAAATTACGAGTATTTCTGCCAATAAAATATTCAGAAAAACTATTGCAGATTCACGTTTTATTGAAGTCATTTCATATAACACTCGGCAGTTTTTAATAATATTGTAGAGTAGGTAACTCCTGACCGAAATTCGACTACGGTGGCCAACTTAACGGCGACTAACCATCTGCGCATCCGCAGTCAAGACTATAGAGTACGAATGTGTGCGTAAGCACAGGTTCACTCTGTATACTCTCACTTTCATAGTGCGACAAGTCGGATCTATGACACGAACAGTGAGACAGCAAGCGAAGGACACGCAAGCTACAAATGCATTGTAGTTAAACTTTTCCACTAATTACCAAATTAACGGGGATATACGTGGTAGAGCCATGCTGCAGCTACATCAGTATTATAGCTGTAGCACGAATGGGTCATCCCTTAAAAAAATTCAAGAGATTTTCTGCTACATAATTTTCTATATAGTTTTCAATTTATCTAATCATCAAATTAAGATGCCAATGTTTAACAGGTTTATTATTCTGTATTGGTGGTATAACTGGGTTAGACGGCTACGTGGCGCAGTGGCTTAGCAATGAGTTGCTGCCCTGAGGGCCGCGGGTTCGAATCCCGCACGGAACAAGTATTTGTGTGGCCTACAAATGATTGTTCCGGGTCTGGATGTTTGTACTTGTGAAATGTGTATTTGTAAACTGCCTCCACGATACAGGAGAGATTCCTAGTGTGGGGGTAACGTTTTTTTTTTTAAACATTTAAATAACATTATTTATAAAGGGATTTGGTGCAAAAAAAGAGTTTGGTTAAATTGTTTTTAAAACAAAGAATCCTCATTAAAGGCCGACTTATGAACATACTAAGAATTAATCATTAAATGTGTTACATACAAGCGTCGTGTTCATGGTCACGTACGGGTCGCACATCATCATAATTTAAAAACATTTGAAAAAAACATACAAAAGGTTAGAAAGGTTATTCTATCTTTATTTGGTTGTAAACAACTATGTTTATGGTTGTTTACTTCTTAATATTTTTTGTTGTCTTATTCTTCATACTTTTCATCTTTCCGCTGTGTGATATTAACCTATATCGTAGGACTGACCTTTATTGTCACGCTTGGTACGCGGATAAAGGAACGTATCAAAACCCCTCGCACTCTGGGCATTTAACGTGGAGACCTATAAGATATTTCTAGAATCTGTTAGATGATGGTTCCATTTACGTCGCCATATAACGGCTTGTCTTATTATCTACATCATATTATCATCATTACTATTGCTTATTTATTTACATCTCTTTGATAGCCATATGACGAAACTTGATACTAATTTCAAAGCTGCACTGAATACTTATTCAACTATATTAAAAGGCAAAGTTGATATTGTTTTTCGATTACCTGATCTGACGCTTCAATGGACACTACCTACGAGAATTTAATCACAAAGCTTTGTAGAGAAAGAAATGTATTTAATCAGCTACCGCGGCTTGTGTGGCTGTTATTCTTTTTTCTCCCTATTGAATGTTTTTATGTACACGTTTTATTGAAACTTTGTCTATTATCTCTAGATAATGTTTTGTCTTCCAGGGTTAATCGAAAACGTTTTAAGAATGAACAAAAACCTATTGGATAAAGCTGGGATAAGGGTTAAAAAGTCTATCACACAACGTGTGTGTGTGATAGACTTTTAAGCCCTTATCCTTCGTGCTTATTAAAAACTAGCTGTTCCTCGCGACTTCGCCCGCGTGTTAGGGTTTTTATGTTTTCGCGCGGAACCCTAGTTATTTTTCTAAAATAAAAGTAGCTTAAGTTACTTCTTATGAAATCAGCTATGTGCCAGTGAAAGTCCCGTCAAAATCGGTCCAGCCGTTTCGGAGATTAGCCGGAACAAACAGACAGACGGACACAATTTTTAAAATTGTGTTTTAGTTATATAAGTACCGTATTTACTTTCATATGCATTTAGTAAAAAACTGTAATTTTGACATTACAAACAGACACTTCAATTTTATTTATTTGTACTTATAGATTATTTAGCGGCATTAGTATTAATATATCGGATTTTTTAATATATTCTTACATGCTAGCCTGCTACCACGGAAAACGCAATAATGTTCATAATATATTGAAAAAGTGTAGATTTGGAATTGAAAATTATCTAATTTTATTTGCTATTGTGGTTTTGCGTTTTTGTGGCAGTGTTGACATTCAAACACGTTTCACAGACCTTGACAACACAAAAGGAACGAACTATAAAACTATAAACACAGCTATTTAATTACTCTGATGTTTGGAAAGTGTGAGAGTGATATCGAAAGAAGAGTGAATGCAGGAAACATGGTGAATGGAGCTTTGCACTCCTTTATGAGCAGTCGGAAGGTGTCTAACAAGGCTCGTTTGGCTGTGCATGAGGGGGTGTTGGTTCCGACACTCATGTACGGAAGTGAAACTTGGGTATGGCAGAAGAAACATGAAAGCAGAATAAATGCAGTTGAGATGAGAGCATTAAGAAGTATGATAGGAGTTAAACTGAGTGACAGGCTAAGAAATAGTGAGGTAAGGAAACGTTGTGGTCTGAAAGAAGATGTAGTGACAAAAATTGAGAAAGGTATGCTGAGATGGTTTGGCCATGTCGAGAGAATGAATGAAGAACGATTGACGAAAAAAGTGTATAAGGCGAGTGTGAATGAAAGTGTTGGAAGGGGTAGACCTAGGCGGACATTTCTAGACCAAATCAGGGACGTCTTGAAAAAAGGCCAGGTCAAGAGTACCCTAAACCGTAGAGCATGTATGAAGGGAATAATGAAAGTGGACGAAGCAAAACAAGTATGTAAGGATCGTAGCAAGTGGAAAGAACTGGTCTCTGCCTACCCCTACGGGAAAGAGGCGTGATTATATGTATGTATGTTTTTTTTTCTTTACAATAAAAACTCAATGTGCTGTTACTGGCCAGTAATATATCCTTTTTCGAATTGTTGCTAAATATAGTTTGTAACGAATTTTATTTGTATTTGTTACTGTACCTACCTTTAAATGTATTTTTTTTGTGTATTTACGCTGCTTTTATAGTTAGGAAAGTTTATACTACATGGATATCCAACCAAAACATAAATGTGAAAAAGGGGCCAAGTATGGAACAAACGAAAAAATTTGAGATCTGAACAGACACCAATAATATAGCAGTTTCTTAAACCGTAAATATAGTGGATGCCATACACGATTCAGTTTACCGTCAAGTTTGCAGCGCCCTTGAAGCGGCGTCTGGTAAATTTGACGGTGTATGGCTATCAGTGTGCATGACAAGTCTACTTGAAGCAGAAATTGAATTTCGATTCTGCCGACTTGATCAAGCTTGCAGCGTCATGCAAACTTGAACATGTGTATGAGCGGTCAAGTATGCATGGCGGTAGTCGACGCAAATAAGCTAGAGACGCCATGGTTTCAACTGATGCGGCATCATGCATTGGCACACACACTTGACGGCGAACTTGAACGTGAGTGCAAGCTGCAAACTTGACGGTAAACTGGATCGTGTATGGCATCCATAAGAGTGTACAACGTTTCTCAATTGATTGCCATATATAAACCTTGACGCCAAATTTCTGAGTCACTTAGTAGTGGCCTAGGGTTTTTGATGAGTCAGTCAGTGAATGATAAAAGTAGCACTTTTAATTGATGAAAATTTGATTCATGAATTTTGGGATTCTAGGTATTTAAGGGACTTTATTAGACCTGCAAAATTACTATTAGTTATATGTATGTAATACTTGTAAGTTATGGAGGGGAGTGGGTGGGGGATTGAAATGCGTCGACTTTTTCTTTTACGAACTTGGCTGTCACACTGCCGTGTGTCTAGACTTCTATTGTCTTCTAGTCACCAGAAGACCTTGTTGGGGTGCATAAATATTTAAAAATATGCGATAAACAGAAATATATTGTAAATACCTTTCT